TCACAACCACTTTATATCATTATTTCCCCCTCTCAAAGAAAAGAAACCAAGAATTTACAAAGATAAGCAACTTGACTTAAGTCACATAGCAAGTAATAAGGGTATTCGTATCAACATATTGTTGTTAAGTGCAGTCAGGCCATTCAGACTCAAGCAACACTTTGGAGGGTTTCTGAGGCTGTAAATCTTCAAAGAAGCAGAAAGCCTGCTCTTTCTCTCATGGAACTGCTAGTAGTTTCAAACTACTTATTGACCATGAGGTTAGCAGCCCCACTTGTAACCACTATGCTACCAGAGATCCTTAATGCATGTTCAGTACACATGGCTAATTGAATGAGTGGAGGATACCTCTTTCTACTACTCATCAGGCCCAGAATCTCGCACAGACTGTTTGTGATAAGCCCTCCACTGCTAACCACAAGGTCAGTGGTTCAGACCCATCAGCCACTTCTTGGAAATCCTATACAGGGTCATTATGAGTCAGAACCGACTAGACAGCACATAACAACAACATCTTCTTGTACCTCCTCTTGCTGTTCCTTTCTCCCTAGCTTTTCCCTTTCTTTTGTCTCTATTTCATCCTCCATCTCTTCTGCCCCTTCAACCTCAGACAAACTGTACCTAGTGTATATGAAAATTATTCCCTCTCATTTGCCATACTTATCCAGACATTAAAAAATATCTTTGTTTTTAATTTAAACATCAATGACTGTAACATTTAATATTTGAATAACAAATTTTAAAATCCTACATGAATCATCTAATAACAATCTGTTTTTAGCTCTTCAAAGGATTCTTAAGTTCCTTTTGTATCTTGTAGGAAAAATAAAAACAAAAGCACACATTGCCCAGACTTGGAGCTATGAACTCAAGCTCGTGGGTGCTCTCGGAAGGACAGACTGACTTTGGGGCTTCAGCTGATGTTTGACAGCACAGACCCCTCTACCTCCTGTGTGCTCTGGGTTTTGGCCTCTACACAGTAGTAACACAGATTAGCAGTTTCTTCTTGGGCGGGAAGGACAGAAATCTGAGCATCATCCTCAACCTCAGCCTGCCTCTGAGGTCACCTAACTCATAATTGCTCTTCAAAGAATGGTAAGAATGATCACTCACTGTTGGGGATCGGTGTCGGCTGCTTCCTCCCCTTGGCAAATGCTTGGCAGTGGGCTAAAGCCAGACCACCAACCAGGACGTGGGCAAAGCTTGGAAAGGACTCTGCTCTCAGCTGTTGATCCGCGTTACAGTAGGAAAGGGAACAAGCCTTTCCTGCCAGGGTCTTTTTCTATACTGACTGTACAGCCTGTAACTTTTTTTCATAAAGGCAGTTCCTCTTTCTTGCCCACACTTATGGAAGAGGTTTAACCCTTTCCTTGCAGCTTGAGTTCGTGAACCTCCGTCTAAATAAAAAGAATTCAGTGGCATAGAGTTCCACACTTGACATTAAGATGAGGCTGACTAAAATTTCCCCTTCTTGAAATTCCCTCAATAAATACAGAAGATACGATCATTAAAACAAGAAAACCATATCTCTGCATCTACAAGATGAAGTAAGAGGACATTCTACAGATGTTGGTAAAATAATAAACAAGGGTGAATTACCATGAGTGTAGATTTCAATACCACCAAGGTGGGTGAGGATTTCACAGAGTTGAAGGGTCTTCTGAGAGGGCTGCCAACCAAGGACTAGCAGAAACAGCTGCTTTAATGTTTTCATTCCTGGGTAGCCAAGGATTAAATTGGTGAAAGAGAAGATTTCTGAAATAAAGGCCTGGAGGAGGAGGGGCAACAGCATCTGAAATTAATAGGTGAATCTGAGAGACACAGGATTCATCAAGCAGAAACTATACCACAAGAAAAGAAAATGCCCTCATCTGAACTAGAAAAGGCACAATTTAAAAATAGAAAGAATTCCGTATTTTATAGCAAAATTTAGAGAATGGATTTGCATCCAGATAAATCATGGTGAGAATTTTAAATTCCAAAGATAAAGAAGGCTAAAAGATAAACAAAAAGGGATAAAATTCAGAGAAACAAAACTCTTACTTAACCCTACGTGGTAAGAAACAACACAATATGTACAGTTTTGAGTTAGCATTCTCTACTCAAGTAAGTTTCCAGGTAAGTGTGAGTCAATAGAAATATAACACCAAGCTGATCTGAAACAACAACAAATGTTGTTGTTGTTAAGTGTTGTCGAGTCAGTTCTGACTCATAGCGACCCTGTATAGGGTTTCCAAGAAGCAGCTGATGGGTTTGAACTGGTGGTTCAAAGTCCAGTGCTGATCCTACACTGACACAACAGGAATCCTCGAATAACCATGTTGTTGTTAAGTGCTGTCGAGTTGATTCCGACCCATATACCATACTACCACCAAAATAAGCTTCCTAAATAAATTACTTAAAGACATGTTCTAGAAAAGGAAATTATTTACAATTGAAAGTCTAAGAATAGAGAAGCCATGACTGAAAAGATCCAGTACTGAGCCCTAAAACCAGCAGCAGGAATAAAGACAAAACTAAATAATCATAAATTAGTTTAGACAATCAGAATGCTAAATAAAGGAAAAGCTATTATAAATAAGTTACATTATTTTAATAAGTTTAAACAACAATTGACAAAGGAGAAGAGCCAGGAGCGGGACCCTACCCAGAGAAGCTGTGATGTCTGAGATGGAGGCAGAGACATGACGTGGAGAGATGGAGTGACTGGGGACTTTAGACCTAGAGAGGGAGAGGGGCTGTGTGCTGATGACAGGGGGCCAGGCTTGTAGTGTATACCCTTTGGTTGGTTGATGATGCATGGAGGGGATTGTAACCATGGCAATGAAACGATATACGACAGGATGAATGTAAAACTAATGTTCTCCCTTGTAAACATGAGTCACAACAACACATTTAAAAAAATGGATAGTATCATGGCAAACTGGAATAAGGAAGCAAAAGCAACACATTATTATTAATCTTTGATAAAGAGGACTGAAAAAGTATTAATTTATCAACTTTGACAATTCATTGAGGTTTGAGAAATTATTTTTGACAGAGATAAGTAATAATAAAATGAAAAATAGATTATTTACCTTCAAAAGTATTGTAGAAGTGCAGATAGAATAGTATAAACAACAAAATGACACATTAGAGTGAAGCTGATGATGTACCCTGTAAACTTTCACTCAATCCAAAATAAAAACATTTAATAAAAAAAAAAGGGAAAAAAATGACACATTAGAAATAAAAATGAAATAACAAAAAAAAATCCATAAAAACATAATTTTTCATTATTTGAGTTTCTCAGTACCAATGTATCCTCTAATTTTTACTTGGATAGCATAAGCGTTTTTTCACATTATTATAGTTACTGTTATTAAGTGCTATCAAGTCTGTTCCGACTCATAGAGACCTTGTATAGGGTTTCCAAGGAGCAGTTGGTGGGTTTGAACTGCCGAACTTGTGGTTCGCAATCCAGTGCTGATCCTACTTTAGATCCATTATAATAAAAGTTGTCTGATGTTGGAAAATGTGTAATTTCTAATATTGCTATATTGAAAACAGTTTTTTTTTTTTTTTTTGTTAAAGTCTTTTGATGAACAGAAGTATTTAATTTTTATGAGGTCCCTTTTATTGTAATGCCTTGTCCCTACATTTTCTTATAAGAATTTATGGTTTTAGTTTTCACATGCTGTTCCTTAGTCCATTTTGCATTTGCTTTTTTGCATTTGGTGTGAGACATGGATGCTTTTTTATGTGTGTGTAATTCTATTACCAAGAAAAGTGAAAAAATAAGCTGTCAATTGGAAGAATATCTTCAGAAATCATAAATGTGATAAGAATCTAATAACCAAAAAATGTATAAAACTTCAACAACTTAACAACAAAGAAAAAGACCAATAACCCAATCAAAAAAATGGATAAAGGACTTGAATAGATATTTCACCAATGAGGATATCCAAGTGGACACCAAACACATGAAAAGATATCAATTTCTGTAGCTATCATAGGATGCCGATCAAAACCACAATGAAATACCATTTTACTACCATTCGGATGGTGTGGCACTGGAGGATAAGCACTTGACCACAAAGTCAGTGGTTCAAACTCACCAGTTGCTTCTCAGAAGGGTCTGAATCTACTCAATGATACTTAACAATAACAGGATGGCTAAGTTTTTGTGTTTTTTATTTTAAGGAAAATAACAAATGTTGGCAAGGACGTGGGGAGATTGGAACCCTTACCCATTGTTAGTAGAAATGCAAAATGGTATAACCATAGGGAAAACATATGATTATGCCTCCAAAACTAAAAAAAATATAACCTAGCAATTCCACTGGTAAGATTATACCCCAGGGACTTGAAAATAAAGAGGTGAACAGACATCCAACTGATGCTCATTGTAGCATTTTTCATAAAAGCTAAAAGGTGAAAACAATCTAATTGCCTATCAATGGATGAATGGATGAATAAAATATGATCCATCCATACAATCAAGTATTACTCATTCATAAAGAAAAATGAAGTCCTTATACATGCTACAACATGGATAGAGCTTGAAGACATATGTTGAATGAACTAAGTTAATCACAAAGGGCAAATATTGTATGAGCTCACTTATATAAAAGGATAAGAACGGGCAAATCTATAAAGACCAAAGTTTATTAATGATTGCCAATTTCAGGAGCAAGGGAAAATGAGGATTATTGCTTATGGAATACTGAGTTTTTATTTACAATGATGATAAATTAGCAATGATTAAAGGCACAATTGATAAATGTAATTGATGTCAATAAGTTGTACACTTGTAACTAGTTGAATTAATAAATGTAGGGTAGATATATTTATAAAAACAAATAAATAACAACTTCAGAGACTGCTTACATACAACCAAACACCTCACAGAATTTGATTTCTTGGTTTGGAGGTTTAGAGTCATGGTTTAATGAGAAATTAGTTAATTGGCCTAATGAGTTTAGTGCTTCTATTCTACCCACTCGTTCTTTGTGGAGTACCTGAGGTCTTAAAAGCTTGTAGAAGGCCATCCAAGATACAACAATTGGCTTCTATCTGCTTGGAGCAACAGAGGAAGGAGAGTCAAAAATTGGAGGAGGAAATAGAATGTGTAGCTAATTGCCTCCATGAATAATTGTGCCCTTTGCTATGAGACCAGAAGAACTTGATGGTACCTGACTCCTATTACTAATATTTTCATCAAATTGTTCAAAAGGGGGGAAATGTAGAAGATAATTTAAAATTCTTATGGAATTCAGATTTTCTGGAGCTATTGGGGTTCTAAAATTATTGCTCTGACATAGTGTTTAAGTCTTAGACCAGATATATCCCCTGAAGTCTTCTTTATAACAAACAACAGTGATGGTGGTGGTTATGTGCCATGGAATCGATTCCAACTCAAAGTGACCCTGTATAGGGTTTCCAAGGCTGTAAGTCTTTATAGGAGAAGAAAGTCTCATTTTTCTCCTAAGGGATGCCTGGTGGGCTTGAACTGCTGATGATCTTGCTGTTAGCAGCTCAACACATAACCCAATATGTCACCTGGGCTCCTATCTTCCCAAACAATAATTTAGTATAATTTGTAGAGAATGTCTGCCTTGAGCATGATGCAGCTTTAGAGAACTATCTTAAAGGGCTGGAACTCTGGTGGTGCCATAATTAAGTGCTCAACTCTTACCCACAAGTTTGGCAGTTGTAACCCACCAGCTGATCTGTGGAAGAAAAAGGGAGCAGTCTACTTTCATGAAAATCTACATTCTTGAAAATCCAATAGAATATTTCTACTCTGTCCTATAGGGTCACTAGGAGTCAGAATCAATACTTTGGCAATGGGGATCATCCATATAGAAAAAAACTGACAACTCCAACTGGAAAGATTAGATGGGAAACCTAGAGGGCAGTGAGTTTATGCTAATGGGGGAGGAATAATTCAGAAAGTTTTCACAGCTTGAAGGATGTAATCCATGTCATGGAATTGAACATAAAGAAATTGGTGAATTATATATGTTCTACTGCGTATATGCTTAACAAAACAACAGGAGCAAGAAATAAATTATTGGAACAGAAAAAAGTTTTACAGTTCATATATTTATAATAAGTTATTCATTGGGATGGTATATTGGGTACCGCTGTAGGATAAAGCACTGGACCTCCAACTGCAAGTTGGCAGTTCAAACCCACCAATCGTTCCTCAAAAACTCTTTACAGGGTCACTATGAGTCAGAAATGACTTGATAGCACTTAACAACAACATTAGATACTATTGTTAAGTAACAAATTATCCCTGAATTTAGTGGTTTCAAACAACAGATATTTATTTTCTCTCAATCTCTGTGGATCAGAAATTCTGGAGAGAATTAATTGGGTAGTTCTGACTCAAGGCCTATCAGAAGGTTACAGTCAGGATGTCAGCAGGGGATGTAGCCATTTGAAGGTTTGACTGGGGCTAGTGTGGATCTGTTTCTAAGATGATTCACTCACCTGGCTGTTGGTTGGAGTCCTCAGTTCTTTGCCAGCATTAGCAAGATGCTTCAGCTTATCAACCTGTGTGCCTCTTTCCACAACATGGTAGCTGACATCTCCCAGAAGTACATCAAAAAAGAGAGTAAAGAGGAAGTTACAATGCTTTTCATGGCCTAGTCTCCAAAGTCCCATATTGTCCCTTCTACTGCATCCTGTTTTTTTAGAAACAAGTTATTAAGTCTAGACCACATTCAAGGAGAGGGAAATTGGTTTATATTCTGTCTTTTGGAGTAAGGAATCCACAAAAGGAAACACATTCCCAAAATTACAATTACTGAAACATATGAGAGGACTTCAACAAGTTCATGGAAAAAATGGAATTAAACAATCATGGACTTTTTTCATGAAATTTTTGAAGCCCTCTTTTATAGACATGAATTTATTTAAGCTTCTAAATTCACCGTGACAAATTAATATTCAAAAGGATTGCATCGGGAGCTGACACCATCACCTGCCCTGGCACACACCCTCCAGATCTACCTCCAGGAGCTATAACAGGTATGGAAGTTTTTTTGCCTCACTTGAAAACTAAGGGTAACTGAACAAGCTTTCTAACATGGACCAGGAAGAACATGATATACAGGGAAAGAGACTGTATAAATAGAAGAGACTGATGGAAGAAAAGGAGAAGAAGAAAAAGATGATTGTCCCTGTCATCAAGTAGGGGTCCCTGGAGCTCCAAGTCTAAGATGTGCCAATTTGTAAGGAACCTCACCCTCAGGGGAGCCCTGTCGAGGGAATGGATCTTGTAATTGCATCATTAATAAGCTGCTCTAGCTGGTCTGCTTGTCCTTTTAATTGGAAATGTCTCACCTCAGAAGATTCTGGATGGGGATCAGGATGCCACCTATGGTCCTGTTCAATGCAAAGGCTCTGCAGGAAACCTCCTTCACTGGGCAGGTTCTAGCCCCATTTTAGATATTTCAATCAGTTGTGGGCTGGAGATGGACTTACAAGCTTTCTCTGGTGATGTTTCTGGTTATTCCTCTTATTCCTCTCTCACTCCTTCAAGTGTCTATTTTACAATAGTAGGCAAAGGAAATCAGGATTCAAAAGACAGCCAAGCATCTTAACATCATTTCCCCACTTTTACCCATTCAAACCATGCATCAATCTTTGTATCCCCGAACCCTGTTGTTCCATGGTTGTGCTTACATCATTATTTACCTCTGTTCTACTTAGCCCATGTAAGCCTGCCTAGCTATCTCCCATCTGCCTTGTTTTTCCTTTTCCCTTCCCCTTCTAGTGTATGCCTGCCCCCGACCACCCAAGCTATAATGCATCTATTCCCTACCCTGGGCTCCATCTTCCCCTCAATCCCCTCACCCCACCCCATACACCACGGTAACCAACAAAAAAATGAAAAATAAATGAATAAAATCCCCCCCCCCAGAAAAAGGATTGCATCAAGTTATGCTTTCATAAGCAAAATAAAAAATCATCAATGTCAGCAGTCAGTGAAACTTTCTTTCTCATGAAATTTCAGTTATATTTCTGTTTCCTGGAGTGTTTCTTATCAATTTATATATGGTTCTTAGATATCAAAGATGCTAATTTTTTATATTTGCTTTTTCCAGCATATTTGCTTTGAAGACTTTTGTTTTCAAATACAGGTGTTTTACACATTTTTTTGGGTAGTAAAAATTAGGGGCTTTTTCTACCACTCTAAAACTGAGAAAGTCTATATCTCAACTACAAATATGACTTTATTCTGTCTTTCCTAGTTTCTGACATTGCAATGTTACATACAGCTTTAGTTCACGTAAATTAATTTCTTAATGGTGAGAGGGAGGAATCTAAATAGATCATTTACCATATTTTTAACTAGTAACTATAATATCATTTAACTCTGCTTTATTTCTTCACTGATTTATGAGGTTTCCATAATAATGTAGCAAATGTTATGTGTGTGAAATGAGGTGCAAGTCCGTATTCTTGTAGCTAATGTAAGCTTGGAGTCCTGGTGTGGTGCTGTAGAATAGGCACTTGACTGCTAAACACATGATCAATGCTTCAAACCCTCCAGTCATTTCTCGGAAACTCTATACAGGGTCACTATGAGTCAGAACTGACTCCAAGGTACTTAACAACAATGTAACTTTGGAGTTGTGGTGCTGTGGGATAAGCACTGGACTACTAACCACAAGGTTGGCAGTTTAAACCCACCAGCTGCTCCTCAGAAACCCTACACAGAATCGCTATGAGTTGGAACCAACTCCATGGCACTTAACAACAATGTAACTCTATAAACTTTTAATATCTATTTCTTTGCATTACCTTTTCCCAACATTGTTCCAAAAGCCATATCTATTCTTTCTACTTATACGCTGGTGTAGCCCTGTGCAATTCGAATTCACCAGCACTTCTCACAGGCTCACTATGAGTCGGAATCAACTTAGTGACACTTAACAACAAAAACAATTTGTTATATTTTTAAAAAGACGTCTTTTGTATGTCGCCCAAAATGGCAGAATAGGAAACTCCAAAAATTTATTCTTCTACTAATGCAAACAACTATTGTTGTTAGGTGCCATCAAGTCAGTACTGACTCATAGTGACCTTATGCACAGCAGAACGAAACACTGCCTGGTCCTGGGCCAACCTCACTACTGTTGCCACGCTTGAGTCAATGTTGTCAGTTGGCCAATGTTGCCACTTGGCCAATCCATTTCATTGGGGGTCTTCCTCTTTTTCTCTGACCCTCCACCTTACCAAACACAGTATTCTTCTCCAGTGACTGGTCTCTCCTGACAATATGTCTAAGTATGAAATTTCAAGATGTAATTGATCAATACTGGTGATTGGAACGCAAAGAGGAAGGATCAGTAGTTGGAAAATACAGTCTTGG